GTGCCCTCCTGTCTGGTCCAAAAGCAAGGAGGGCAGAGACCAAGGCCCCGGCAGAATCTTGCACAGGTGGGAAGGGGACACCTGGCTTTGGGCTGGACCCAAGGAAAAGCACAAAAAAGGTACCCCCTGCCTCCCCCCCGCCCTTAACACATGGCACGATCCAGCGGAGCAAGAGAACTAGGCTCTCGTGCGGCTTCTTTTCAGTGGGGCCATTGCAGGGGAAAGTCTGCGGACTGCGCTCCTGCAAGGACGACCGCTGCTCTCTAGAGCTCCTAAAACCCTCTGACCCATCTTGCCTCTCTCTAATACTCCTAGTTTCAGAGTAGGCATGTGCGTTTCGGGATCCCGAACCGAAAAAAAGTTTTTTTGGCTTTCGGGATCCCAAAATGGCATTCTAAGGCTTTTCCGAAAGCCGGAAAAAAATCCCAAAAAAATTCAGGATTTCTTTCGGCATTGCCGAAAAATGGCTTTTTGGGCTTTAAAGTTTAAAGGGCGGCAGGGAAACCCCGTTTTCCCGCCGTTTTCTCCTCTTTCCATGTGTGACCCGTGCATAAAGGGCAAGATCGCCGAGCGGACCAACGAGCTAACTCGATGGAGGAATCTTCTCTCCAAGAGAGTTGGGAAGATGCGAGCCAAGATGGGAACATTGTCAGCTGCGGGAGGGGAGGGTGCCAGCACCTCGAGTGCTGTTGGTAGGCAGCGTCCCCCTTAAGGCTCCCGCCACCAGGAATCCTGAGAGGGCATTCATGGGGTGGATCCTTGGCCCCTCTGGGAGCAGAGGTCCCACAAGAGAGGACACGGCGGCTGCGGTGGTGAGGGAGTACCTCGCGGAGCCCTACGAGCCGGAGTCCGTCTGTCTGCCTAGCTATTGGGCCATGAAGGAGGCGGTCTGGCCGGCCCTCTCTGCCGTGGCCCTGAAGCTACTCTCGTGCCCTCCGACGAGCATTTAGAGCGAGCGCGTCTTTTCCCATGTGGGCGACATTGTCTGCCCGCATCGCTCTCGCCTGAGCCCCTGGTCAGTTGAGCAGTTGGTCTTCCTGAAGGTCAACTTGCCACTGTTCGGTTTCCCGGAACTGGCGTATGAAGATTGAGGTGAGCACATCCTTGTGCCTGCCATCCTCTCTTGCTCTGTGCTGGGAAATTGGGCTACGCTCTTCACTAGATGGTAGGGCAAAGTAGCAGCCAGGGCCCCCATGACCACTTTTGATTGGCACACAAATGCCCCACCAACCAACCTCCCCACTTCCATCCCACCTGCAGCAGAAATGCTTACACAGACAGACCCCACACCTAAGTTCCACGGCCAGCTGCCGCCGCCACCCATCCCAAACCAAAATTTCATGCTGAAACGTAATACAACAGCATCACACACTGATTGTTCTCCATCTCCAATGGTAGAGTGGGGTAGGCCAGCCAGAAACCAGCAGCGCCACACACGGGAGCACCATTGTGTGAGTGACAGTCTGCAATGCATTAGTCCCTGGAGTCTGAGTAAGCTGTGGCATCTAGTTTGTGAGCTGAAAATCTTGTGAGCTATTGATTTCTGGGTACTGCATAAGTAAGTTTGCTCTAGAGGCATCCTTCCTCCTGCCTAAGAGGAACAGTTGTGTGAGCCAGCAGAGAAAGAGAGAGAGAGAGATTAGAGACCAGAAAACTGTGAGCTGGCTCACACTAACTCAGCTTTGGTCTGTTGTCACTGACAGTTTCTTTATTTTTAGGGGCGTGGTGGGGATAAGGGAGGGGGAGCCTGTGATGAATGCGGCTGCCACACCTAGACTAAGCCTCCTCAACTGAGGCAGGCAGGCAGTGATGATGGCTGGTGTCGGTGTACTGCTGCGAGACAGGAGGAGGTTCACTGGACAGATAGACGAAACGATAACCCCTCCATCTCACTTTCTGAAGCATTAGTGGGGACTGGGAGGCAGGGCTTCTTGTTGTTGTGGTGTTGTTCTCTCACACAGGTTGACAAGTCTAGGCACATCAGAGATGGACAAGCAAACTGACAGGAGAAGACAGAGGCTGCTTCCTTGGCAGGGGAATCATGAAGGCACACATTCTGACTATGGTAAAGGTCTGACTTCATAAGCCTTCCTCGCTAAGAGGGCGGCGATCACGCCAGGCCACGGTTTTTGGGCAAAGTTTAACAATGAGGTCTTGGCAGGTAATCAGAGACAGACGTGTGTTGAGGTAAGATGACATGATGAGTTCTCTGTCTCATCTGTCATCTTCTCTACACGCATCTGTCTCTGTGAGGCTGCGTCCTTTGACTGATGCAGTGGTGGGGTGGGCTTCTTGTTGTGGTGTTATGGTTCTTTCACAGGTTGACGAAGAAGTCTAGGCACACAGTCAAGCTGACAGGAGAAGAGACAGAGGCTGCCTCCTTGGCCAGGGATCATGGGGACACACCTTCATCTGCACTAGGAGCGTTTTCATGGTACCTGTGCTAAGTGGGCGGCCGGCAATCTGTCCAGCCCATGGTTTTTGGTCCAAGGTCAACAAAGAGGTCTTGGCAGGCAATAGACGGACATATGTTGACTAGGTAAGCTGACATGATGAGACAGAGAGGCTGTCTCCTTTGACAGATACCTGAAGCGCCCTGACTTGCCTATATACTGTCAAGCGCCTCATGTATCTGCCTAGGTGGGCCGCGTCACTCCAGGCCACGGTTTCTCTCGGTGGATGATGGGCGGCTTTTAGAATGTTTTGGTGTTTTCTGGATGTGAACTCAACTTGGTTAAAGAGCTTGTTGAAAAATGAAAGAAAGAAAGACAGAAAGAAGCTGAGCCAGAGCAATCTGCCCCCTCAAAAACCTGGCTCACACTAACTCAGCTCAGAGGTAACATTGGTTTACCTTGGGCATGGTCAGGGCTTCTTGTTGTGTTGGACTTTTTCACACAGGTTGACAAAGAAGTCCCACTCTCCAGGCACAGCAGAGATGGACAGGCAAGCTGACAGAAGAAGACAGGCTGCTTCCTTGGCATGAGACAGATGGGCTGCCTCCCTTGACAGAAGCCTGAAGTGCCCACAGCCTTGCCTATATTGCTGTCATGCACTTCCAGGCATCTGACAAGGTGGGATGCATCACAACAACAAGCCATGGTTTATCTCGGTAGATAATGGCTTTTTGAATTTTTTGGAATTTTGTGGACGTCACGTGAACTGACAGAAGGAGGAGGAGGAGGAGACAGGCCACACTTCGCTTGGTCGGTTGTGGACTCTTGCCTTTATTTGCTAAGTAGACAAGAGCCTAATCGACCAACGAAGTGGCCTGCATTCACTCCACGGCATGGTTTTTTGACTAATGAAAACATAGCAGGATGCTAGAAGACTGACGTCCTGTGGTTTCAACTTCCATCCAGCATCTTGATGCATTGAGCGGTGACCATGGAGGAGGGCCCTCTGGGGTTGCCAGGGAGACGTCCCTGTGTGAATCTCCAAGTCCTGACCTGCACTGCTGGGAACGGGGCGGGGGTTCCCACAGGCCAGCTGCTGGATGTTTTTGCCTGCCTGCCTGCCCCTGCCAGGTGGGGCTGTGGCTATCTTACTTCCTTGGTGCCACCTTCCTAGAGGTATCAAACATGGGACCCCCCCTGGATGATTCCCCAACCCGGGAATCATCATATCTCAATCTTTGGGCACCCCCTGGAGAGTTGGGAGCCACTCTAATTTGGGGGCATCTGGGTTCTTCTGACCTCCCTTTGCCTCGAGAGAGGCAAAGGGAATGAATGGCATGCATTGCACCTTGGCACAGTTTGTGGGGGGATTTTTTTCTTGTTGTGGTGTTGTTGTTGGTCTCTCACACAGGTTGACAAAGAAGTCTAGGCACACAGTCAAGCTGACAGAAGAAGACAGAGGCTGCCTCCTTGGCCAGGGACCATGAGGGCACACCTTCTGCTGTGCTAGGAGTGTCATCCTGGTACCTGTGCTAAGTGGGCAGCCAGCAATCTCACCTGGTGTTTACAGTTGTCAAGGCTCAACAAAGAGGTCTTGGCAGGCAATGAGACATGATGAGACAGAGAGGCTGCCTCCCCTTGACAGTGGTCTAAAGTGCGCTGACTATATTGCAACCGTCTGGCAGCAGTTCAGGCAACTACTAACAAGGTGGGCCACGCGGCGTCACTCCAAGCCACGGTTATCGGTGGAAGATGGATTTTATACTGTTTTGCTGTTTTCTGGATGTGAACTGACAGGAGGAGGAGGAGGAGGAGGAGGAGGAGGAGGAGGAGACAAGGGCGCACTTCGCTGTATCGCATGTTGGACCCTGTCTGTCTTTGCTAAGTAGACATGACTCTTCATGCGTGTGACGAAGTGGCCTGCGATCACACCAAGGCATGGTTTTTGGCCTAAACAAATCATAGCCCCTGCCTGGTGGGGGGGTGGGGCTATCTTCCTTCCTTAGTCGCCGCCACCCACTCACTGGATTCACAATCACAACGCCTTCCTACAGGTATCATATGGTGGGACCCCTATGGATGATTCCCCAACCTGGGAATCATCATATCTCAATCTTTGGGCACCCCCTGGAGAGTTGGCGGCCACTCTGATTTGGAGTAATTTGGGTTCCTCTGGCCTACCTTTGCCTCTCTTCAGGTGCGCTGCCGCTGAGTGGGGATTCGCGCACACACAGTGATTGCTCATGTCACTTGCACAGGCCCTGCCTGCCCCCCTCCAGTTATGCTGCAGAAATCCTCATGTTTGGACTGAGTCCAGTTGGGTGACTGGCACAGAGAGGTTGTTGAGGGGGGTTGATTGCTCTGGTTCTGCAGCTGGGCATGGTGGCTGACATGCTCCCCTATGTAGGCTGCTGCCACCACAGAGGGAGATTGTCTGGTTTGCTTTTGGGGGTTTTCGGGCACTGCCTGGCACATTGGCACACTTGTGGTGTACTGGTTCTGCTGCTGGGCCTGGCTGGCTAGTATTGGCATTGGCAGTGCACATAATAGGTCCCTCAGCCTGTGTGCTGCCGCTCCAGTCCACTGCAGTCTGGACTCTGGAGAGATTCTCTGGTTTGACCTAGTTCAACCTCTAATGGTTTTGGGGCACTGACTGGCATAGTGGCATGGCAACCTGGCTGGCACAGGTGTCAGATTGCTCTGGTTCTTCTGTTGCTGGGGCCTGGCTGGCATGCACTTGCTCCCTCAGTCTGTAGGCCGGAGGCCGCTGCCGCTGTCTGCAGAAATTCTCTGGTTTGCACAAAGTTGGTTCTGGGCAGTGGGCACTGATCGTTTGCACCTTGGCACAGGTTGTGGGTGGGGGCAGATTGCTCTGGTCCTGCTGCTGGGCCTGTCTGGCATTGGCATGGCAATGCACAGACATGCTACCTCACCTCAGTGCTGCTGCTGTAGAGAGATTCT